GTGAGAGAGAGAGAGAGAGAGAGAGAGAGAGAGAGAGAGAGAGAGAGAGAGAGAGAGAATGTTCGGAACATGCCATACTCAATCCTGGAAGTCCTTGAGGCATGTAGGTGATGTGGGAGGCGAGTAGGTGATGAGGGTGTCTACTGGACGCATAAATCCGCTGCATAAAAAGCAATCTTCAGGGTACTTCTTGCTTAAACAGCCACTCTCCAAGAGCCCTCACAGCCGAGGTACCTGTGTACCTGGTGCATCCAAGGCGCAGTCCCCTGATATCGGGGCGTGGTGGTTGGTTTAATCATTATTTTGACAGGCACCACAGATGAGTGGTGTTATGAGAGTCCTCCGGGACATCCGTCAAAATTTGAACGATCCAGAGAAGATTAGCATGACCCCTGTGCAAGGATGGCATATAAATCGAGAGGAAAAAACCCCAGAAAAGTGCTATTATGAGAGTCCGTTCACGTACCGAGGCCTAGCTCAGTAGGCAAACCCATGATCTGTCGAAAGACAGACCCAAGCTCGCATCCAGATACGCCTGTACCACCCTCCATCCAGATCCCATCTCTGAACTTACCGAGGTAACTCTGAACTTACCGAGGTAACTCTGAAGTTACCTCGGACTGGTCAGTTTGAAGACGACATCGGAAGGCCGTCGCCTTTTGTTAAACCACTAGACAGGGAGTGGGTTCCACCTACTGAGCGTCACATGTTCGGGAAGGCCATGGGATGGAGAGGGTGCTACCGGGGCGTCGGGTGCATGTTGCACAGAACGGTTTCAAGTGTGCTTTGCAGTCCTGTAGCACAAGACAGAAATCGAGATGAAGTGTGGCTCGTCCTCCCCATCCTCCCCCCTTGGATATCCAAAGATGGGTTAACATTTGACCAAATCTGCATTCAAGCGACTTCGCGTTCCACACGCATAGCCTGCCGTGCAGGGGAGGCCTACTCCAGAAATGCTGTGATAGCCTGTTGCTGTTGTGCAGGACTCCAGAAATGCTGAGATAGACTGATGTGCAGGAGGAGGACTACTCGAGCAATGCTGTGGAAGGAGAAGAAAGGGAAATTTGAAAGGATAAAAAGGAAAAGTGTCCCGGAATGAGAAGAAAGGGGAAATATAAAGGGATAAAAAGGACAAGGAAAACTGTGACAAGCAAAACGAGGACAGGTCCCCTGTGAGACGTAAACCTCATGTTGGGGATATTAAACATCGCGCCGGGCATACTGAACATCTGTCTGGGCATTTGAGCATAGCTTCCCTTCAAGACTGTGTTGAGCTCAGCAAGAGAGGGAACCCTGTAAGCCAAGCATACTTTGAACATATGGAATGCAGAGAGAGAGAGAGAGAGAGAGAGAGAGAGAGAGAGAGAGAGAGAGAGAGAGAGAGAGAGAGAGAGAGAGAGAGCATAATTTGAACATAGCTCCACCACCTGAAATATCTATATTCACGCTTGGCATTGAGAGCTATATTCGTGATGGAAAACGGATATCCGGACAGAAAGGGTGAGTCTAACGTAGCAGGACAACTCTCTGTGGATTTCTGGGAAGAAATAATTGTTTTGAAAAAAGTTGAATCACGACTGAAATGGTCATAGACATCGTTGTCGTCTTGCTCTCCCTCGTTCCCCTCCCTTTTCCTCTTTTTATCATCCGCTGGGAGGAAGGGGTCATAGTAGTGTTGGGTCATAGTCTTCGTTCTCTTCTTGCTGTCTCCCTCCTCTTCCCCCCCTTCTCCTCTTTGTGCATTCATTCAATGCGATCGGAAGGTTCCATAGCATTCATAGAATGTGGTCGAGAAGGAAGGAGGTTTTCAACTCCACCAAGAGCGTGCACATCTTTCACTCCCTCAGGGCTCCAGGGTTACGGCATGAGCGTGCACATCTTTCACTCCCTCAGGACTCCAGGGTTAAGGTTTTCGCTGGGCAGGTCAATCTATGACCATGCTATAGGCAAACTGGAAAAAGAAGATCGCTGAGCAGATGCAAAACTGGATCCAACCTTGCAGCTTTCAAAATACAATACAGGCCTGACAACTGGAGATCTAAAACAGCTCTCTCTCTCTCTCTCTCTCTCTCTCTCTCTCTCTCTCTCTCTCTCTCTCTCTCTCTCTCTCTCTCCATGGTATGATGTGTGCATGCGCACAGGCTGCAACTACACTCTCTCTCTCTCTCTCTCTCTCTCTCTCTCTCTCTCTCTCTCTCTCTCTCTCTCTCTCTCTCTCTCTCTCTCTCTCGTGTATGATGTGTTCCATACACAGGCTGCAGCGAGACAAGGGCTTGCTATGTGGTTAGCAATATGGTATAGCCAGGTCATGGCTATACCCATAGACATACTATTGCACAATCACATGTACTATGTGGCAATATGGCTAGCAATTAGCTATAGTTATGTTTTTTTTTTTTTGTGTCCATGTAGTGCATGATATGCCCCACAGCTATCTCCTACATACTCACTTTTAGTTGCCCAGATGGAGTCACTTTTATTTTTGCATTGGAATGATTGGAATCACTGGCATTGCAAAAATACAAGGTGATAAGTTGATAACTTGATAAGCCTCCTCCTCCCTCCCTTTTTTTTTTTTTTTTTTTTTTTAACATGCACTCTTCTCGCTTCCGTTCTCTCCAGTGGGGGATGGGGAACGAACACAACCGAACTCGAAAGGGAATACGGTTCAACACCCACCCACAATCAGATTAAAACTTAAAGACGTTAACGTGCAAGGAAAGAAAAAAAAAGAAGCGGAAATATGGTACGACAAGTAGTTCCGGCAGAAGGAATCCAATGGCCCTTCCCTTAATAATAATAATAAAAAAAACATCCCTTTCCCTTCTTCCCTCCACTATTCTCTCTAGGGCGCTTTGCAGCAGGCCATTGTAGCAGACAACGAGGACTTATATTTTGAGAGTTTACTTGAGAGTATTCAATCAATGGGGAAGGTTGATTGATGCACATAGTTCGAACTTCGTGTCATTCGTTGAACAGGACATCACATGATGCTGAACTATGCCTGAGCATAAATAAGAAAAAAGGAAAAGAAGATTTTTGCTGTAATGTAATATATTTTCTGACTTGCCAGTGGAATAGGAACCGGACTGACGCTCCCCAGAATAGAAGGAGCCAGGACCATAAGGCCCTGTTTTTTTTTTTTTTTTTTTTTTTTTTTTTTTTTTTTTTTTTTTTGGAAAGAAAAGAAGGACAGCAGTATCAAGTTACTATCAAGTTAGTATCAACCCTATAACAAGACTTGAGATAGGATAAAAAAAAAGAGAGGGAAGGCAGAGCTAAGGGGGAGAAGAGGCAAATATGATGGTTTGTTAAACTGAGAGGGCTACATAAACATGAAAATGAACATGATGAGCGGTCTCGATTTTCTCGATGATCTTCACTGCTCCCTTGCAAGTCCTCACTCAGTGCAAGAAGAAACCGAGTATGAGCGATAACACAAACCAAGCCGTGAAGAAGTAGCGCACCTTTCTGATCCCTTCAGGGTCGTCGTCATCCAGAGAACTCTACACAAATAACATACGAGGAAGGGGGGAACAAATGGAAATGCACAAGAGGAGGAGGGAAAGGCACAAGAGGGGATTGGTTTGTGGCACAGAATAATGGTTAATTGTTTATGGTATTTTCTGTGTGTATCACCACAACAACCCGTTTTCCACCCAGATGAAAAG